AGTATACACACACACACACACACACACACACACGCACACACACACACAGACACACACACATACATAGCTTAAAACCAACAGCTGCAGTATTTTAGACAATTTTACAGATGTTGAGCTAAAAATAGACTTGGAAGTATTTGAGACTCATCCTCAGCACATTGTGCTAACATATAACACATAATCTTACACATATGATAAAAGTTCATGCATGATTTCATTTACAAGGTTGGAGAAAAACAGCTATAACTTCTCAYTTTGAGATGATTGCAATTTATGACTCTGGCATTGAAAAGCAGCCGGTGATGCATTCCTTTGAGTCTTGAGAGTTTTGTTGGAAGAACATGCAGTGTCTGTAAACCCAGAGAGTTAAAATGTATTTCCTGACATTTAGCTTACATGTCCTGGATAAGAATGCATACTCAGCTTTTCATAAAACTTTAGTCAAAAATAGTTGAATGTTTGAAGAAAAAAGGGGTCAGAGCCATGACGAGCTGAAACAACTGTCATTAGATTGTAACTGATGTGTTCTTCCATTCATCTGGAGTCATTTTTAGTCCTTATGTTCTTTTACCATCTACTTCCACAGAACAACTCTGACTAAGTCAAGATACTATAAGCTGACCACATTATTGTGGTAAATAAATACTAAAGTCAAGAACATTCAGGTGTTTTTGTTTGTGTAAAATCATGTCACACTGAGAGTTTCTTCACTTTGGAGATTCAGTAAATCAAAAAGAAAGTGTAAAACAAGACAAAAAAAAAAGAAAAGATAAGCCTACACTTTCACAGTGAGTAAATAAATTTAAGGAAATGAGGATGTGTTGTGTTCCGATGAGGATGTGTTGTGTTCCTTTAAAAGTTGATGAATTGTGACAGAATATTCCCACCAAGACTAACAGTCCAAACTTGTCCACTGCTCTTGTAGAATATCAATAAGTCTCACAGCTGTAACACCTCAACAGCAACAAATCCCCCAAACATCACCTTCTGGGGGACAAACTTTAGAAACTGTATATAAAATGAGGCAGGCAGAATGACTATTATGTCCTGCTGCTGAATGTGAAGAAGCAATGATGTTTTTGCCTSTGTGTTGGTTTGAATGTCTAGTTTCATCATTCACATCATAAGAGGATCTCAGTCTAAAACTCGATCATGAGAGGCGGCGGGAGATATGCATTCCATCAAGGAATGGTAGAGGCCCTTGAATTTTAGTCCCTGAAGTAATTAGAGATGAGAGCTCTTCTTCATCACAGCTATAATTTACACAGCTGGGTCTCCTCTCCTCCTCGCTACAGCATGCTGTGTCTATGAGTGAGGTTCTGTTTACATCGGCCCGGCCCGGCCGTTTACTTCTGTAACATTGTAATTTATCACACATATGATTAAGTAGCCAGAGTCTTTGATTATCTGATTGTCATCTTTACTTGAAATATCGACCTGAAGGAGCTGAATGACGTGCCAAACATCACATCAGAGTGCATCCTGGGATTGTGTGTGTGTGTGTGTGTGTGTGTGTGTGTGTGTGTGTGTGTGTGGGGGGGGGGGGGGTGGCTTGGTCTTGCAGGTGCCTCAGTGCTCATGATTTCCACTTTGAAGTAATGACGTGTGACAGGAATCCATTACTTCAACCCCAATACCCCGTTGTGATCATGTGGGAGCGGGTGGGGGTACTCCATCTCCTTTCACTTCAGGTGGCTGTGGTGAAGTGGTGGAGCAGCCGGCTTGGGACCAGAAAGTCACTGGTTCGACTCCCTGCTAAGCCCACATATCGTGTCCTTGAGCAAGACACCAAGTGTCCAACTGCTCCCTAGGCACTTACTGCCAGCTGCTCCACTTCGGTGTTTCTCATGTGTGATGTTGACACATACATGTCATTCTGCATTGCATCTGATTTTTTGTATGAATGACAATAAAGGGTTCTTGATTCTTGATGTCAAGTTGACTGTAATTTACATGGACTTTCCATCATTTAGCAGGTATATGGATGTTTAGAGCAATCTCACTTTTTTTGTGTGTTTTACAGATTTTTTCCAAAAACTCAGTTTCAAATTTAACTTGTCAGAGCCTTTAGGATGTTAAAAAAACAATAACATTAAATATCCACTTCCAACCCACACTGCTGCTAAAAATAAGTTATTCCCTCTTCATTTCATTCTGTTATTGCTGCAGCCGACAGTCCGCCTGCACCCCCCGCATGTGATTAATAYGGATTTTTTGTTAAAATTACAGATTTTTGAGGCTCATTATACAGGTAAACGTCCAAAGGGGTTGGCATGTGTGAATACAGAGCACAAATCTCATCATTGTATGGGACCATGTTTTGATGACAAATAAAGTACTTTACCTCTTTCATGTTCTCTTTAAAAGAGCTTAAAACTGCTTATTTAATTTTATCTCAATTGATGTTTTGGATTTACATCACYTTGTCAAGCTAGTCAGAGTTATTTTTAAATCTCCAAACTAAGACTGTTAAAGCTATCTACAACAGGTAAGATAATGACTGTTTAAAAAATGTCCTAAAGAACCCCACTTCAAAAGATCTGCACTGTTGGTTTTAAGCACACACACAGGACATTGAATAGAAATTCTAGTCTCAACCTGATTTCAATATTCTAATTTCAGGAGATCTAAGTTTGACTCCGTACTGTCTGGAAAATATTACAAATATTTAATCTGATCCACCGTATCAGAACACTAAAGCCTTTTGTTCCTTTTGTCCTTAAATATGATTTATTTGAGTCTCACGGAGCAGATTTACATCCTGATCCTGYACAGGAAGGTGGGGACTCTCACTGTGTTTTATCATGGCTGCTATGTTTTTAAATTCACTGTCAGGAGCAGGAGACTGTATCCAAAATGGGACATTCTGAAGGTATTAGATTGTTTACTCCGATAAGTTAACACAGATATAGTGTTATGCCTTTTAAATTTTTTCATTGACGACTTGTAGAATGATGTTTTTTAAGCAGCGGATGTGAATGTTTCCAATGATCAGAAGCAGTTATCTGTCTGCCCGTGTGGTTTCTGGTCATTCATCCTTTACAAGCAGACCAGAGGGCCGAGAAGTCAGCAGCTGGTGACGACTCCACGACCCACTGACAGACTTTATGATGTCGCCACGTGAAGCCTCACATAAGGCAGCTTCCTGCTCTCAGAGCCTACAGGAATGAGCTCATATCAGATCCAGCTGAATACATTTATACAGCTGGATCTGTCGTGCTGCGTTCAGGTTTCTCACACAACTCACCGAGCTGTTCTGGAGAAATCTGAGCACACCTTCTGATTTCTGTGGAGCTTTGGTCGGCTCCTTGTCAGTTTTACATTTGTCCATCAAACGATCTGCAGTCTCAGGCTGCTGGATGAAGACTGCTGCCTTTGTAGGTAGAAACAAAACTCACGCAGGGCTTCAAACTACCAACGTACAGAAGCTGACAAGACAGACAGCTGGTTCTGCTCAGTAGTCTGCTGGTGTGGCAGAGGACCTTCAGAATCCAGCAACACAGGCTTTTATTTGACAGTGGAAACAATACCAACAGTTTGGTTTATATAACATCATGGAGAAAATATGGTAATTTTCAGACCTGGGTTGTGTTAACTCTGGTTAGTTATTAATACAAGGTTATATTTTTTAAATAACTATGCAAGAAAAAACAGATGAAAGATTTCATTTTTTTTAATTTCAAGGAAAAAACTAACATTACCAACTGCACAAAGCTACAACTTGCAGGAGGAAGACTTGCTGCTGAAATTTTCTGACAAACTACTGCCACCTTGTGGAMGATAACAGCACTGCAACAGGACATGTTTCATTAGTTTCATGCAACAAACGTGCTGCGGTTTGAGGAGATATTGAATCATATGACTGATGCCAAATGCATTTTAAGTCAATTCCGAAAAACAAAATACTTGCTGCTGGTGCTGCAAAATGAATTAAAAGTTATTTAATTTTTAAGGACGCTGTGTTTAATCTCAAAACATAAAATATTTTGCTAGGCTTTAAAATAATGGGAGCACACATCTGTTATTACAATACAAATATTTTTTCCTTGTGGTTTTACAACATTCGGTGATGCCGCAGCAGTCTKAGAAGGAACTGTGAAGGACAAAAACACAAAGTAATAAACTAATAATCCTACAAAGGAGTTTTACTTATTAGCATCCATGCAGCTTAACCCTCATGCATTCATTTGTTGATAATTAATTTCTCAACTAATTCTGTTTGGAGCATTTTGTTTTCATTATGCTTCTACAGAATACTGAGAAGAAGTCAGTGAGAGGATAATTAAAGAGGTAACTAATCCAAAGTTTCAATAAGCTGAATAACATGGATCAGGATATACTCCTACAACCATTGCATAAATGCAAAGACCAATGCATGGCAAACCCAGGAAACATTTTTTTCAGCTCAGCACCTTTTAAAGATGAAATGTCTAAACATGATTTATTAATAAAACAGTTGTGTTAATTAGGGGTAAATATCCGGTTTTAAAACAACAAAACATCCAATAAATAATTTCAATTCTAGAGGCAAACAAATAAAATTAGAGTAAACATAAACATCTAATTTAAACAAATTCTCTCAACTCGTTTACATGGTTAGTATTTTATTTTTTATTCATTTTGCTCACAAAATCATGATGACAATAGAACAATTCAATTAATCAGTCAGATTTGTTACTTCACTGTAACAAAAAAATAATACTGACAGAAAAAAGTGCTAATCCCATCCAAATAAGAGCTCACAAAYTTAAGTTGTGAAAATATAAGATTGAACTAAAAAGGCTTTCACTGTCATGGTGAACATGTAAAAATTAATGTGCAAGGTTGAACAGATATATGACCAAAAAATCCAAACCAAAATCTACCTGCAGTTTCTTTGCTGCACAATATAAGAGTGGAAAAACTAACATCAGCTGCTTCATAAACTGGTCTCTTACCAGTTAGACCCACAGCTGAGTTATGATCCAAAAAACTCAGAAACACTTCATCTTTCCATTATTTACAAACAAAACTWATTAATCATACAGAAGAAATCCTTTTAGGTTAAATCTTATGAGGTTATTTACCTGGTTTTACAAACTCCATGCCACTAACAAACAAATGAAGGATTCAGTGTTAATGTTATAAAAACACAAAAAAAAAAAATCTAAGTAAGAAACAAAATATGCACCATATTTCCTCATATTGACAGCTAATGTGCCTTTAAATAAAATAATAATTGTAAGTATATATACAATATCTGTGATGCCAGCTGTTATGTTTTTTTTTTGTTTGTTTACCTACAAACAGCCAAAGTGACAAATAATAAGTCAACAATGACAAAGTCAATGGAAGAGCAACAAATCTAATGTGCTGGTATGAAAAATACTAAATAATAGTAAACTGTTTCAAATGGCAACATTTAATACAGTTCAGGATAACCTTTTTMTATTTAATTTCAAAAACCATGATTTAACAGCCAGTGTTGAACAAAAACACAAACAGCTTATAAAGAAAGCAATGATGTCAGAACACTGAGCTCACCAGTTGTCATCTTGCACTCAACTCTTTTAAGATATATTTGTGAACTTTCTTAYGAAGCTCTCAGATAGGAGGCCTCTAGGTTTCAAGTCCTCTTCTGAGAATGGGAGATCTTCTAAAAGGCTGTTTTCCAGTCTCTCAATAAACTCACTGCAGAACACTTCAGACCTGCTGGATGGAGCACAGGGGGCGCTGACAGACTCGCTGCGCTCACTCATCACATCCTGATCTGACATCATCTGGCTGTTCTCATCTCCATCCTCTCTGTGCTGATTGTTGATTATTTTGGCTTTAACGTTCTTCTTCGTGGCAGAAACAAGCTTAATGATGTTGAGGTTCCACCCATCTCCAGCTCCTCCTCTGCTTTTGTTAGGGGTGAGTTTCACACTGGGGTCTACAAGGATACATTCAGAGACCCTTTCACGGCTGTCAGTCTCCATGTCCTCCTCAGACCCTTCCTGTCCCACACTGTCTGCCTCCCAGACGTCTTCACACGGTGTCACAGGTCCTTTTGCAGGAGAATCAAATAACACTCCTTTGGGAGCAAGAGGTCTGAAGTGTCTGCGGTAAAGACCAGTGAACGCTGAGGAGCTGAGCTGGTTTTCAGGCAGTCTCAACATGTAGTGCTGGACAGACTCGGGAACGAGGATCTCAGWGCGTTTTCTATGTGGCAGTAAGGCAGACAGACTTCCAGGCAGAAACTGTCCAACAATGGGCACGATAGATAAAGGCTTCAGAGCAGAGACAAAGTCCTCCAGCTCCTGATAAGAGGAGTGGTCTGAATAGGGCACTACATGGATGTTTGGGTGGAAGGAGATAAAGGGCCTACTGGTGGGCAAGATGACCAACGTGGGATGTTCTTCATTCCACTGCTCCAACGCTGCAGCGTTGATCTGTGACTGCTCCACGGCCCGGATACGACCKGCTCCCGGCTTGGTGGTGAAGACGTCGGGCTGCTCCAGAGCCTTGAGGGTCTCCATTTTCTCAAAACTCACCTCGACCCAGGTTTTAAACGTCATCGCCAGCTCGTATAGGAGAGACTCCTTCCCCAGACAGTACACACCTGCGGGGTAGAGTGTGGCGAACACAAAGTAGGATCTAGGTTTAGAAACGGGACATGGTTGGATAAAATCTGAGGAAACAACAGATGGATTTGTGTTTTCAGCTGCATTTATGTGTCTATCAGCCTTAAAATAGTAACCTTAGGTTATAACTGTTCAAGTATGGAGGCAATCTTTGAGCCAGATCAGGGGTCTGCAACCTACGGCTATGGGGCTACTTGTGGCTCTTCAGTCCCTCTGCAGTGGCTCTTTGAAAATATGACCAAACATAACAGAATAATGTTTTTTTTTTGTTGTTGTTTAACGTTTTTTAATACTTAAAGTAAAACCTGCTGGCTCATGCTAGCCTGTTGTTTACTTAAATAATCCAAGATTTTTCTGACTTTTCTCTCAAATCCACCAGGGTTACCTTTAAATACCTTTACGACTACATAATAATAAGAATTAGAAAAAAACATATGCTCGAATAGTTCAGTTGTACTTGTTTTTATGAAATTCGGAGTCAACTTTATACAGTATTTTTCTTGTTTACGTGAATCTTGTCTTTTTATTTGTCCTGATGTGCAAAGATAATAATAAATAATACAATTCACAATATATTGTTTAGTTTTATAATGTCACCTCCACTGGCCATAAASTTTCCTGAAAGGCCTYCAAAAGGCCCAYGGACCACCAGTTGATAATCACAGTTGCAGCTTGTTTTGTGGCTCTGGACTCATTTTATTAGTGAGCCAAGCAGCAGAAATGGCTCTGTTGATTGTAAAGGTTGCAGACCCCTGAGCCAGATAAACACTTTTCAGAAATGAATAATAATTACTAAGTTTTCAGGGAGGATGGGTTTACAGATAGAGGAGAACACTTGATCCATATTAACTCACCTATAACAATATTGTGGTTAGGGTGGCTGCGAATGAGCTCTTTGATTTGTTGAGTGGCTTTCTGTCTGGATGGCAGGGTGCGGTTGGGGTCACAGTTGGTGTTGTCCAAGTACAGAACATCTATAGTGGTGTTGGTCCTTAAACACGGCTCACGCAGCATCGAAGGAGAGTATCTAAAGTCCCCTGAAATTCAGAGTGGCAGCTCTTAGCGTTAGTCTTCAGAATACAGTTCCTCAAAAAAAATACTGTCACAGAAGAAACTGACCGGTGTAAAGGATTGAGCCAAAGTAGCCCTCAAACAGAAACATGACAGAGCCTGGACAGTGGTTGGCATCTATAAGTGTGAGTGTGAGCTTCTCTTTGCCGATGTCGTCCAGAGGGAGCAGGTACGGCTCACCGAGCTCTAGMGGATGGACCCACTGGTCTTTCACCTGAACAGAAACAGAACTCGTCAGTAACAACCCAGACTATAAAAAAGTCTAATAATCTTYACATGTAACAATTTAGATCATTCCCTTGGGAGGATAATCTTGAACTTAGCCACATCTACTGTAAATGTATTTCTACGTCAGTGAWGAGTGCTGATATTTTAAATTAAACTCCTTACAGACCAAAAATACAGCTGACATGACATCATCGAGCATCCCTGGTAGATCTATTAAAACATGTATTAGTTTAATTAATTCTGATTGCCTCAGTTTTTTATCTTCATAAACACTAAAACACTGAAGCTATTCTGACAAAACTGCAGTAATCCAACACTTTTTATATAAATACTGACATGTTACATGAAGATGTAATGTTAAATGATCTTGAATAGAAGCATTTAATACTTTGTATTAATCCATATGTAATTGCAACTCATTTTGGATAAACAAACAACTTAATTCTATGTTTTAACACTTTCTCTCACAAATAAATTTGACTTGTGTTACTGACAACACCCAGGAGTTCTGTTCAGATATTCCAGTTGACCATGTGAGTACGGCTGCCACGATTAATCGATTAATCGACGACTAATCGATTATTAAAATAATCRATGACTAATTTAATAATCGATTAATCGTTTTTTGTATTTTTTGTTCTTTACTTTGTTTTACTCTCCAAACTGCTTTGACACCTTCCACTGCCACATCTGCCTTTCTGTCCTTGACACACAGCGCAGTAGTGGTAACTGGGGTAGGCCGTGGACGTCACAAGACATTATACAGACAGGCTCTGGTATCATGGCTACCTGACAACAGAGCTGAAAGTGTGGGATCATTTTAAGAAAATGAAAGAGAAACCTGTGCAATATCTGCAAGGCAGAACTTGCCTTCCACAGCAATTATTTTTAGTTAGCATATAGCTAAAATCTAACGATGGTTATAAAATAGCAGCTGCATTGTGGCACGATAAGCTGTATGTTTTATATTCAATTAACGTATGATCCGATTAGACGACTAATCGAATAAATCGGTGATTAATTGATTATTAAAATAATCGTTTGTGGCAGCCCTACATGTGAGAACAACATTAAAAATGGAATAATAGTTTCATTAAAGCCGGTAAACGGACATATTACAATATATCTTATACTGGCACAGAGGTTGTAGTCATTCAGGTGATGATAATATTTCAGAAATGAATATGTTTACTGGAGAAACATCCTCAATAAAGAAAGTTCAGTTGCTTTTCATTCAGGCACCAATAACTTTATTATTAATTGTTAATTGGTGAAAATGACAACCACTCACCTTTGAAAAGTGTCTGAATGAGATTTTTACAACGCTGTTTACTTGCTTTTAAGCAACTTTCAGACCGAAATACAAAATACAGTGGTACATTAGAAAGTACTGAATAGCAAGTAATTAACCTGATTGATTTCACCTGTGCTTCACTTTCTGCTCTGTTAGGTACAAGCTTCTCTGATGAGCTGAGACATCATCATCATTTTATTTATCATACAAATGGCACTGCATATACAGTAGTATACAGTAACAATTTAATGGATAACACAACAAAGCTTATTGCTATTGTGGTCGAGACAAATACTCAGAATAAAACCTAAAATWATTTTATTTCACGCCATTATACYCCACAAGAAGATTAATTATAYTTCAGAGCCAGTGTGTGACACGCAGAGCTCCAGACCCTCCTCCTCACCTGCAGTTTGAGTTTGAGCAGCGTGGCGGTGGTCGAGGAGCAGTAGATGGGCCGGTTGCTCCATGTGGAGGTCAGACCCACCGTGTGGTCGCTGTGCATGTGGGTCAGGAAGAACAGCCGGGTGCCTGGACACTTCCGGACATGCCAGAAATCTACAGCCAGCGGTGTGTGGGGGATAACCTTTCCATTACAGCTCATTGTGAGGGTTYACGCTCCTCCTCCTGGAGTCCTGTAGCCAAGGAAGTATCAGGTAACTTTCCACTACAATTTTTTTTAGCGTTTGTTACTTAAAAAAATAAGTTTGCCGATTTAAATAGGTAGGGTTTGGATTGTAGCCACCGCTAACAGCTGTAAACAACTAGCACATCTTAAAACTGCCTCTCATCGTGTTGCTTCACGACGCTCTTATTTATAATTTGCAATCAAAATTTTTCTTGTCTCTCCTGGAAATCACAAAGACGTGGCCTGTCGACATTTTTCACCGTGTTTTCGTACCCCGCCATCTCTTTTTTCAATTTGTTTACCACCTCTTCCGGGTTTGTGATGATGATGCGTGATTTAAACTCTAGCGCCCTCTACAGGCTGGAGCGTTGTAGCTTCATTCTTTGAGAAATRTATGGCAAGCGGTTTATGTATTTATTTGATGTGCTTGACATTAGGTTACTTGTTTGAGATTTTAATGCATTAGCTACACGTTTGGTAACACCAGTCCAACATACTGGTGCCCTAAATCAACAAACACTCTTACTAGAAGGATATTTGTCTGTAAACTGGTGGCACATTTGCTCAGAAGTATGACTTTTCACAAGTTGAACTGTCTGGACCCCCTGCAGCCTTRTGTCCCCTTAGATCTTAGCATCATTTGCTTTTAATTGTCCAGAGGTCCAGGTTGGTCCATTGAAGTGAACGGGTCTTTAGTTGTCCTGTGGATCAGGCTGGTTCACAAAGATGATCAGTCATAGGCTCGTAATCTTGGAAAACCTCATCTTCATATCAGACAGGTTTTAATTCTTTGTGCTTTTAGGTCACATTGTTACAC